TGATTTGAAGCGCTAACACTAGTCGTGATTTCTCTGATGTGAAGCGCTAACAGTAGTCGTGATTTCTCTGATGTGAAGCGCTAACACTAGTCGTGATTTTTCTGATGTGAAGCGCTAACACTAGTCGTGATTTCTCTGATGTAAAGCGCTAACACTAGTCGTGATTTCTCTGATGTAAAGCGCTAACACTAGTCGTGATTTCTCTGATGTGAAGCGCTAACACTAGTCGTGATTTTTCTGATTTGAAGCGCTAACACTAGTCGTGATTTCTCTGATGTGAAGCGCTAACACTAGTCGTGATTTCTCTGATGTGAAGCGCTAACACTAGTCGTGATCTCTCTGATGTGAAGCGCTAACACTAGTCTTGATTTCTCTGATGTGAAGCGCTAACACTAGTCGTGATTTCTCTGATGTAAAGCGCTAACACTAGTCGTGATTTCTCTGATGTAAAGCGCTAACACTAGTCGTGATTTCTCTGATGTGAAGCGCTAACACTAGTCGTGATTTTTCTGATTTGAAGCGCTAACACTAGTGGAAGGGGACGGGAAACAGACGCTGTGTCGTCCTCGAGAGCGCAGCGGTCAAACACGTCCATCTAGCGCCGCTACACAGAACATCTAAAAGTAGCGCAGTGGAATGGAAAACTCCTTCTGAATGCTTCTAAATATGCAGAACATCTGTAAACACACACTATAGAGATCCTATATTGGCTGATGTTCGTGAAATTATTGTGATGGAATCTATAAGACTTTCTCAACTCAGACTTTCTTTACCACAAGGTGACCAAAATGATGAAGTTGGACATTTATGTTACGATATTATGACAATCTTCACCAGGATTGAGATAATATTCAGAGATATTAGTAACACTTTTCCGTAACGCTTCCTTTTACAGTCCTGTTACTCATGGACATACTATGTACTTATTATAGTAATTACAATTACTGGGTAATAACTAGGGTGGCCATTTTTTTAAACAATTCAGCGCAACTCCAAAAAGGAGGACAAATGAGTGTCAGGCTTGAGGCTGTGCCGGACAGGGGGCTTAAAATCCGGACGTATGGCCACCCTAGTAATAACTAGGTACTAACCCTGAACCTACCCCTAACCCATGTACTTACCTTATATTAGCCAGTACTTTCTAGGTAAGTACACTGTAAGTACACGTAAGTACTGTACTGTAAAAGGAAGTGTTACCCACTTTTCAATACGAGTGTACTAATATGTATTAATTCATACTAGGCGATTTCAGAAAATTTTGAGTAGGTAGGTTAGACATTTTTTTACAGTGTATGTTGTATACTGGAATTAATTGATATACCATTTTACTTTATGCAATATGTGGGTAAAATGGCCATACGTGTGTAGTCCCATTCAATACAATGTGTCTGTACACTCTATCTAATGTATATTATTGTGTTCTTGGGGCAAATTCTAATGAAAAAAGAAGTGTAATAATGGGAGAAATAATTGGCAACATTTTCATAATAATATCTAGTATTTCATAGGAATATTGATGTTTAATTTTTTTCACTGTTCACTTGTTGTGTCTCCCAAAACGCCTAATAAACATGCTTAAGTCCTGGTGTCTCTACAGTGAGTGGACATGTATGACATCAATGCTCTTTTTTGTAACATAAATTCATATTTTGATTAGAAATATCTAAATAATATATGATCATATTTCCATAAGAGTGCTGCATTTGAGCACTAAAGTAATGTCAGTCATTTTTAAGACCATGGAGGAGATGTTGTCCCGGTGAAACCGCAAACATCTGCTATCTCTGATATCTCTGAGCCGGCTCTTCACAGGACACCCAGAGATGAAGTGTACGGTGTCAGAGTCCTCCACTGAAATATAATGTCCACTGCAGAGGACACAAGCCTGGGTCATAGGCACAGTATATACTGTACATACACTACTGCTCCAAAGCTTTAAATCGGTGAGATTTCGAATGTTTTTAAAACAAGTCTCTTCTCACCAAGGCTGCATTTATTTGATTCAAAATACAACAAACAGTAATATTGTGAAATATTACTCCAGTGTAAATCAGCTGTTTTCTATGTGAATATACAGTAAAGTGTAATTTATTCCTGTGATCAAAGCTGAATTTCAGCATCATTACTCCAGTCTTCAGTGTCACATGATCCTTCAGAAATCACTCTAATATGATGATCTGATGCTCAAGAAACATTTATGATTATTATCAGTGTTGAAAACAGTTTTTTACATTCTTATTTCAGGATTATTTGATGAATATGAAGTTCAAAAGAACAGCATTTATCTGAAATAGAAGCTTTTGTAACATTAAACACTACCGTTCAAACGTTTGGGGTCAGTAAGAATTTATTTTATTTTTGGGGGAAATAAATAAAAGAAATCAATACTTTTATTCATCAAGGATGAGTTAAATTGATCAAAAGTTACAGTAAATACATTTATAATCTTACAAAATATTCTATTTTAAATAAATGCGGTTATTTTAAACTTTCTATTCATCAAAGAATTCAGAAACAAAATGTAAATAACTGTTTTCAACACTGATAATAATCATAAATGTTTCTTGAACATCAATTCATCATATTAGAGTGATTTCTGAAGGATCATGTGACGCTGATGACTGGAGTTATGATTTATCACAGGAATAAATTACACTTTAAAATATTAAAATAGAAAACAGTCATTTTAAATTGTCATAGTATTTCACAATATTACTGTTTTTAATAAACACAGCCTTGGTGAGCAGAAGAGACTACTTTTAAAAACATTACAAATCTTACCAATCTAAAACTTGTGTGTGTGTGTGTATGATATAAACAACTTCTGTTATTGATTGCTATGAGGTTGTGAAGAGATTCAGTCAGTAGGCTTATTACAGAAAGTGTCTGATGCAGTATCAGTTCTTGATGAGTCAGACAATAATCTGTGCGTTAGTTAAAGTCCCTCTGTGGTGAACATCCAGTGTTTAATGTAGTTTATGTGTCTACTGTATGTGGTGTGTTTAATATACTTTAAGACAAACCATGTGTAAGTTCATAAGTCGACAGCATTGCTGAGTATTTTCTGCTTAAAACTGCAGTGAACCAAAGACAATCTCAAAAACACGGTCTCAATGTCCATACTATACACCCTAATGTCCATACTATACATCCTAATGTCCATACTATACACCCTAATGTCCATACTATACATCCTAATGCCCATACTATACACCCTAATGTCCATACTATACACCCTAATGTCCATACTATACACCCTAATGTCCATACTATACACCCTAATGTCCATACTATACACCCTAATGTCCATACTATACATCCTAATGTCCATACTATACACCCTAATGTCCATACTATACATCCTAATGTCCATACTATACACCCTAATGTCCATACTATACATCCTAATGTCCATACTATACACCCTAATGTCCATACTATACATCCTAATGTCCATACTATACATCCTAATGTCCACACTATACATCCTAATGTCCATACTATACATCCTAATGTCCATACTATACATCCTAATGTCCATACTATACACCCTAATGTCCATACTATACATCCTATTGTCCATACTATACATACTAATGTCCATTCTATACATGCTAATGTCCATACTATACATGCTAATGTCCATACTATACATCCTAATGTCCATACTATACATCCTAATGTCCATACTATACACCCTAATGTCCATACTATACACCCTAATGTCCATACTATACACCCTAATGTCCATACTATACACCCTAATGTCCATACTATACATCCTATTGTCCATACTATACATACTAATGTCCATTCTATACATGCTAATGTCCATACTATACATCCTAATGTCCATACTATACATCCTAATGTCCATACTATACACCCTAATGTCCATACTATACACCCTAATGTCCATACTATACATCCTAATGTCCATACTATACATCCTAATGTGAGATTAAAATAAGTGTGTCCCAAAGTATGTTGAAAAGAGTATAGGCCTATGCCAGAAGTCCCCTGATGGTCTAACATTTTAGGTGGATTTTTTAAGGGTGGATCCGTGCTCACTATAACAGCTAATATTACCCACAACCCATTGCACTTTGGAGGAGGAACTAAAAACACAAGTAAAAGTGTTTAAGTGTTAAAAGTGTTAAAAAACTACAAAACATGGCGGATATGCGCGACTGACGGTGAGAGGTTTAGATAAAGGTTTGAGTGATTAATAATCAAGGTTTAACCTGATACAAAAAAATATTTATTTAATGTTATCCGTGTTAAATTTCATCTGCAATAACAATGCGGACTTTTATAAAGATCCTTTTGGGCATTAACTTTTAAATGCATCATTATTTAATATGAGTCTCTGCATGAAAGACCCGCGACTGCAGATCAGTTTCTGCATTTCTCTCCGATACAGTAGGGCATGAAAATAAATGAAATGTGGAGAATGTTAACTGTGACTAGATGATTGTTTACTGTGACAGGATGCGACAGAGAGCTACCGTTAAAGACGCAATTGTATGACGTGATAGTTTGTTGCAAAGCTTATGTCTACTTTTTCTTCACCAAAAGAGAACATCATTTTAGGGCGTATTATAAGTAGGCGAATTGAGACGCAGCACCGGTTTGAAATCGCTGGTGTTTCTGACGTCACAAACTACCTTGTAACCAATCAGATCAACGTGTGATCGTCAACCAGTGGATCTCTGAGCTGAGTGAGTGAGTGGAGGCGGGGCTTATTTGCATATTCATAGAACCACAAATACTAAATGAGGCAAGGGTGTCGAGTTACATTCAAGATATTTTAAACCATGAAGAATTTTTTTCAAGGAAAAACATTAAAATACATAATTTTGGTGATTAAAGATGAGTTTTAAGGGATAACATTTTTGACTACAGGGAAACTTTAAGCATGAATTAATGCATATTAGTGCACCCATATTGCAAAGTGTTAGCGAGTTACTCAGATGATCAATCGTTTTCTCTCCTGGCAGGTGGCTTTCTGATCGCACACACTACTAAAGGCTTGTGTCTGAGCGCGCATGTGAGTGTGGTGGTGCTGAGGATGTGTGATGAGAGCGACCCGTCTCAGCAGTGGATCTGGACCGGCGACAGGAGACTCAACCACACGCTGCTGTCCCGGTGCCTATGGTCCGATCAGAGCGCCGCCGTCCCGCACCACGCTCGGCTGGTCAAGCTCAGCGACTGCCACACAGCACCCGCGTGGACGTGTTACGACAGCCCAGGGGTCTTCGGACTGGCAGAGACGCGGCTGTTCCTGAAGAAGCAGGGTATGCGGGTGGTGGTGCGCTCCAAGCAGAGCTACTCCAACTGGTCTATGATGACGGTGAACTCTGAGGGCCGACGGGTGACCGCGTCTCTCTGCCCCGACACAGGTCAGCTGACTTTCCTGCCATCACAACTTCACTTATGTCTATGGAAGCTTGTACCACAGAGTAAAAAAAAGTAATTGCTATTTTTTTCTCGCAATTCTGACTTTTTATCTTGCCATTCTGAGTTCATCTAAACTCGCAATTGCGAGAAAAAAGTCAGAATTGTGAGAAATAAACGTGCAATTCTGAGAGAATTGTTTAAAAAAAATTCTGTGGCTGAAACGTGCCTTTAGAAGTAACATTTAGGCTGATTTGACTTGCTTTTGGCATTTGGCATGATCAAACAGTGATCAGGCCTACAGTATAATACAGTACAGTAATCAGTGAGGTTACTAACAGTACCTTGATGTATTTATATAATACTAGTTTAATAATATAATGTATGTATTTATGCTGTCCATATTGTTAAAAGCACATTCAGGTTTCAACTCGTGTCATTGGAAACGAGCCTCTACCTAAATTTTCGCTAAAACTCCACAGATGTACCTATACATACAAATCACTGCCGTTTTCAGCTGAAATGACTTTTATTCCTTTTCACACAATTAATAAAGACTCAGGCATTTTCTTGCACAACTATGTTATGACCTGTAAACTATGAGATTTTGAGGTTGAAACACCAGAAAAGAGCTCAAAGTAGAAGCAGATCAAGTGGCAAGGTTACTTCAGCATGTGTATTTTATCTCACGTTTGCACTATCGGTTAGGTTTAGTGTAGGTTGGTATGTTATTTTCAAAAGCTATGGAGCATTACATTTTTAGCATCACTCATTTCTGAACTGCCACGTTACATACAACATCCCAGGTTATAAAACGTTGCTAGAACATGTTTTAAGCACCACTCACTGGGTATTTCAATGTGCAAGAAATGTCATTCCCTTTCAAGGGAACTCGCATTGTGTCGATTGACGCTGTGGAGACGCTTTGCGTGATGACTTCTTGAAGCACATGTGAAATCAGTCCAATGGTGTGGCGATACGTCAGAGGCAGGTGATGTCACGAACAAGGAAACTGCAAAGCCTGGCCAAAACAAAGCAGCGCTAGCTTTTGTGTCTTCAGTAAGCGCTCTGTGGGAAACTGTATCTGTCTATTTGGTGTTGTACTGTCTCATATATATCAGAAACAATGGTGAGCAAGCAGCAGTTTAGAGTGTGTGTGCAGTCCTGCCCTCGTTATCTTACGGGTGGACACACACACAACCTTTGTGTTGCTTGTTTGGGTGAGAAGCATGCAGTCGGCGCTCGAGGGCTGTGATGTGCTTCCTATGCGGACGCTCCGATCACGCCTAGCATTCTTTCACGAGGACGCTCAGGCTCGCCTTCCCCAGGGCACGGGTCCAGCTGCTGCCAAGGCACAGCGGCGACTTCAGACTTGGGGTTTGCAAATGGCTCTATCAGAAGGGTTATAGACAGGCCCCAGCCTTATCTCTGCCCTCACCTGATAGATCCAGTGCCTTTTCCAGGGTTTGGAAGCACGCGCTGTGGTTCCCTCCACCCTAGTTGAGGCACCGACACAGTAACTATCTAGTTCTGAGGAATTAGATGTTGTTAGTGTCGAAGCACGAGATACTGATGACTCGTCTCATGCTTATAAGGAGCTTATTGAGGTTGTAACTAGAGCTGTGGCCAGATTAAGCATTGAATGGCCAGCTGATAAGCAGGAGATTCGTACACAACCTCAACACCGGGGCCTACCGTTTTTAAACCAGTGTCACATAGAGTGTAAAGTTCACAAACATCACACTATTCCTCTATAATGAACTATAAAGAGCACGGTTATGGCAAGATGCCAAAGGTGAAAGAGACGCTCGCGAGCTATCTCTCCTCTGAATCAGAATCTTCCCTAAAGGCCCCGGTATTACCTACCAAGAAGGTGAATGACTTCAGCTTTGGTGGATAAGGCTTATTCAGCTGCTGGTCTAGCTGCAGCATGCCTTCACACTATGTCGCTGTTGCAAGCCTACCAAGCTGAATTATTAGGAGATATGTATGAGGGCGGTGATATTGGCCCTGACGCAGTTTGCGAATCACAGATCTATCTCTCAAGGCCACCAAGGAGACGGCTAAAACCATCAGCCTCTATGGTAGCCCTGGTGGCCACTGAGAGGCATCTGTGGCTCAATCTAAGTAATATAAGGGAAAAAGACAAGAACGTCCTTATGGATGTACCCCTGTCACAAACAGGTGGCTGCTTTCCAGAAGCTCCTCCCCCGTCGCTCTCATATCTCCATGAGAGATATGAAAAGAAACATCTAAAGCCAGCTCCTCACACCGTGCCACTGAAAAACAGTGTTGCTTCTCTTGCTCCCCCTCAAAACAATTGGGGACAGGTAAAGCACTCTCAACCACAACCTTCAAAGGGTAAGACAGATCTGAGGACGGTCATTATATCTGACGGGTCTAAGGCTGCGGGGAAAAGGTCCTGACGTCCGAGGGGTCAGGCCAATCAGGGCAGTCCCCCCCCGAAATAGAGCGGTTAACACCTCATTACACGGTGCCCGATGTCCTTCGGTCCCCTCCACCTTGAGTATTTCGGGGGTGCAGCGGTCTCCGGTGAGCACATATCTCAGAATCCACCTGGAAATGTAGTGGTCCTGGTATTCCTGCCCCCTCCGAGAAGGTTCCTAGAGCAGTTTGGTCGATCCCTGCCGGTTCGCCGTTACAGGGTGTCGATCGACGCAGCGCGAGTTCCCTTGAAAGGGAACGCCTCGGTTACATCTGTAACCATGGTTCCTTGAAGAGGGAACGAGACGAAAAAATATCTTGCCATATCTCCTACGTGCCTGTCAGTGACTTACTTCAGACTTTTATGAAGCTAGCGCTGCTTTGTTTTGGGCAGGCTTTATAGTTTCCTGGTTTGTGACGTCACCCGCCACTGACGTTCCACCACACCATTGGACTGATTTCATATGTGCTTCAAGATGTCATTACGCAAAGCATTACCACAGCATCAGTCGACGCAGCGTCTGGTTCCCTCTTCAGGGAACTGAGGTCATAGTCGCAACTGAGGCGTTTTTTTTCCATGATTCGGACTTGCTGGATTTTATGGATGCTTGTTTCCCTCACAGAATAAAACATTTTAAAAGATAATTGTGACTTTTTATCTTACAATTCTGAGAATTGCGAGAAACAAAAGTCAGAATTGTGGGATATAAAGTCGAAATTACCTTTTTTATTCCTTTATACCTTTAATTAAACTTCCATTGTTTTTGCACCATTTTAGAAAAAATGCTAAAAATGCACAACAACTGTGAATAAAGGAATTACCATTTGGTGCCCATCAACTTCATTATGGTTTATGTTTGAAAAACACATGCTGCATAATGCTAACATCAATCTCTTTCCATCAGGCCCATCCACAGTTTCAACAGTGATATCCACAGGGGAAATCACCACTCGGACAGTCCCTCTCATGACCCAGCACACTGTCAGAAGCAGAACGAAACGGACCGCCACCACTGGTCTAGGTGATCTGACGGCATTCACAGCCGAAACAGACCTGAAGGAGAACTTCACTCAAATGCTGGAGACAGAATCACCCTACGAGAAACGGACCACCACCACTGGTCTAGGTGATCTGACGGCATTAACAGCTGAAACAGACCTGAAGGAGAACTTCACTCAAATGCTGGAGACAGAATCACCCTATGAGGACACTGATGTGTCCTCCACTGCTCTGATGGAGACCAGAACCCTTCATGTACCTCAGAACTTCACCCAGAACAGGCTTCACGTGAGCTCAGATGTTTTGGAGCAGACCCATAACCCTCCGTTTTCTCAGGAAGGATTCACACTCTCCACAACGGATACTGAGCCTTTAGTTTCCTCCGATGCAAGCACTGAAGCTCAGACCGCTCTAGATTCTCACACAGGACCGTCGGAAGGTAACAGCATCCGCACTGAAGCAGATCGCGCATCGACTGAGAGCTCACCAGTGTCAAACACAGATGGCGCATGGACAAATGCCACAACCAGACGCTCAAAGATCACCAAAGACGTTCAGACCATGTTGCCATTCAAAACCAGAACGACCCGAGCAATTACTGAAGTTCTTACCAGTACGGATACTAGATCTGCTCCAGACACAGACACTAGTTCTGCCAGAGCTAGAGCAAGTGCCACGACCTCTCCGACGGCCCCGCACACATCTACACCTGCCCTGGACACAGACACATTCATATCAGTGACTGCAGCTACTGGTACAGCTGTAGAAATGGGCAGATCTCCCACGGTCATCATCAGCACTGCTGCACCCAGCACTAAAGCATCATCTCCTCCAGCGTCTACAGTCACTCCTTCAGTGTCTACAGTCACTCATACAGCGTCTACAGTCACTGCTTCAGTGTCTACAGTCACTCCTACAGCGTCTAGACTCACTCCTATAACGTCTACAGTCACTCCTACAGCTTCTAGACTAACTCCTATAACATCTACAGTCCCTCCTACAACATCTACTCTCACTCCTACAACGTCTACATTCACTCCTCCAGCGTCTACAGTCACTCCTACAGCGTCTACAGTCACTCCTCCAGTGTCTACAGTCACTCCTACAGCGTCTACACTCACTCCTCCAGTGTCTACAGTCACTCCTCCAGCGTCTACACTCACTCATACGGTGTCTACAGTCACTCCTACAGCGTCTACACTCACTCCTCCAGCGTCTACACTCACTCCTACGGTGTCTACAGTCACTCCTACAGCATCTACACTCACTCCTACGGCCTCTACAGTCACTCCTACAGCGGCCGCCACATCAACGGTGAGCACTGATCCACACTCATCTGCCTATAGTCCTGTTTTGTGTTTGCAAACAGAAATTCTTTTTTTGTGGCACTTAATAACAGTTATGCAGTAGCAGTCTGTGGAAGCCAAGCAATTAAATAATTTTAAAAAGTTAATTTTGAGTTTATATCTCACAATTTTGACTTTATTTTCTTGCAAATTAGAGTTTATATCTCACAATTCTTAAAAAAAGAAGAAAAAAAAGTCAGAATTGTGAGATGATAATTTTATCTTTAAAAGTTATCTATGTAAAATGTTATAGGTTTAAATATTATTTCATGCTGTTACTGCTATGTATGTATGTCCCCTATGAACTTCATATGTGAGGTCCTTATTATGTAGACTTACAGTTTACATCAAATTCATGCTTTAAGGGTAGACTAATCTCATCAATTTCATCAGTCCTGTCTGTGACTTGCATTATTAACGTCTGCGTTTAGCTTCAAAGGGTGTCTTCAATGATGGCATTCTATAAAAAGGAAGACTATACTTTTTGCATTCCGATCCTGACATTCAAAGGAACCGTTCAAAGGTTGCTTTGGCTAGCACAGGGGGCACCTGTGGCAGAATCGCACAGGCATCAAGGACATGTACAGATTGTTCCTGCTTGATGCCCCAATCTCACCTTTCACCTTGTTTGGTGACTCTGTGAACACAGTCGTCAGCAGGTTTCGGGAGGTGAAGAAACACGAGGAAGCTTTTGTGCAATTCCTTCCTCGCCACACTCAGGGGGAGGGGCTGCCGGCCACCCAGCTTTGCCCCGGTCCTTCTAAATGTAAGGCACAAAAACAAAGTGTGGCGAGCCGCGCTCCCTTCGTCAAGACTGGGGACCAGCTCATCACTTTCAGCAGCCTCCAAAAAGGCAAGACCTCAGGACCATTATCTCCAAAAAGAAAAAGTCCTGATGGTCTTGCGCCCAGCCCTGTGGGGGTAGCCCCCTTCGGGACAGGGCGCATAAATCTACCCGCCTCTTCCCGATACCCTCTGAAACCCTCAAAACCTCTGTACTATCCCCGCCACGTCTAGTGTTTCGATGAGCAGCGGTTTCCAGCGAAATTTTGGACGTTGTCCAACAACACTTCAGAGGGAAGTATCGAAATTGATAACCATTTCAGAGGAACTGGCAGCACGGAAGATACTGCCAGGTATTTCTGTGTGGGTTCGAAAGACAGTAGAAAAAGGTCATAGAATCCAATTCGCTCGTCGTCCTCCGCGTTTCAACAGTGTGGACTCCACTACCATGAAACGGAGCAGGCGCATTTTCTGTCACAAGAGCTGCAATCTCTCCTGGTCAAAGGGGCAATAGAACATGTTCCCCTTCCAGAGAGAGGGTCCGGTTACTACAGCAGATACTTCCTGGTTCCCAAGAAGGTCGGGGGGCTGCATCCGATTTTAGATCTTCGAGGCTTGAACCGCTCATTCAAGGCACTCAAGTTCAAGATGCTAACTATCAAGATGATCGTGTTGCAAATTCAACATCACGATTGGTTCGTCACGATTGATCTCAAGGATTCCATATAGAAATACTGCCACAACACAGGGAGTTCCTGAGGTTCGCTTTCGGGGGGCAAAGCTTACCAATATCGGGTTCTTCCATTCGACCTAGCCTTGTCACCCTGCACATACACAAAGTGCATGGACACAGCGCTGGCTCCTTTGAGACTCCAGAGCATCCGCATTTTGTATTATATCAACGATTGGCTGATACTAGCAAAGTATCCGTTTGCAACCATTCTAGTTGTTGCTCCCAGTTCCTCGCCCTTGGGTCCCACTCTAGGTGCGTCTTGCCGTCGCAGAATGCTAACGACAGACGCCTCCCTGTCGGGCTGGGGAGCGGTCTTAAATGGTAGTCCAGCTCAAGGGGAATGGGAGGGTCTTCAGCTCGATTGGCACATCAACTGCCTCGAGTTGATGGCTGTCTTTCTGGCCCTGAAATACTTCCTCCAGCAGCTGAGAGGCTGCCATGTCCTAGTGCGGGTGGACAACACGATAGCAGTCTCTTACATAAATCACCAGGGTGGTCTGCGCTCGCACCGCCTCAACGGGCTAGAGAAGCAGATTTTTTTTTGGGGCTCAGGACAAGTTCCTGTCACTCGAAGCAGTTTATATCCCTGGACATCAGAATGTGGGAGAAGATTTACTGTCCAGACAGAAAATACCAACAGGGGAATGGAATGCCACCCCGAGGTAGTGAAACAAATTTGGTCAATATTTTACGAAGCAGAGGTGGACCTCTTCGCCTCCCAGCAGACAGCGCAATGTCCCCTCTACTTTTCTCAGAGTCACCCAGCCCCCCAGGATCTGGACGCGATGGCGCATACATGGCCCAGAATGCGCCTCTATGCATCTCTTCCAGTTGCTCTGCTTCCGGGAGTTCTAGCCAGAGTTTGCCAACAAGTGTCTTGCCTCTTACTGATAGCGCTGCGTTGGCCGAACAGAATATGGTTCTCCGAGATTATATCTCCCCTCGACGGCTCCCCCTGGGCGATAGGGGAGAGGAGGGACCTTCTGTCTCAAGCGCTGGGGACAATATTTCATCCCGGCCCGATCTGTGGAATCTTCATGTTTGGCCCCTGAAGGGTAGCAACTGAGGGACACAGGGCTTTCACTTGAGGTTATAGAGACCATTCTCAGTGCTAGGGCTCCATCCACTAGGAGAAATTATGCCAATGAATGGGGTGTCTTTGAAAGGTGGTGCATACACGTAATGCTTCAGTTCTGGACTTCCTGCAAAAATTGTCAGCAGGCGCATGCCCCGCCACTCTCAGGGTTTATTTGGCCGCTTTATCGGCTTGCCAAGTGCCACTTAGGAAACATCCTCTGCTTGGCCGCTTCATTCGTAGAGCCAGGCGGCTGAGGCCTCCTGTTAGAACCAAGATTCCTTCATGGGACTTAGCAATAGTCCTGGAGGGTCTGGTTTAGACCCCCTTTGAATCTCTAGAGTCAGCGACTGATAAACTTCTGACTTTTAAGATGGTTTTTCTTATAGCTATCACTTCTTTTAAAAGAATCGTGGATTTGCAGGCTCTGTTGGTCTCGCCATCCTGCCTAGACTTCCCCATGCAGCATGTTGCGGTCAAGCTTCTCCAGTTGGCATCAGGGCTCATTCTACTAGGAGGCCCCATGCAGCATTTTTGTGATGCGGCAGGCTGACCCTCTCTTCGTACACATTCTGGTTACTTGACTATAACCCTGTTCCCTGAAAAAGTGAGAACGAGATGCTGCGCTTTATTGCCGCACTAGGGATGTCCCAGGACTGCTCTAAAATTATACATGCCGATGCACCTGTTGCACATCTAAGTATAGCCTCCGATGCACCCGCATTCCGATGACGTCACTGCCCGAGGCTTTTAAACTTCAGTCAATTCCATTGACGTGTTGCACACAAATATTCACAGCTGGTCACGCACAAAATATTCGGTAACACTTTATAATAACTGCATGCTATTAATCATTTGTTAAGCATGAGTAAACAGTTAATTCATCACTTATAAAGCATTAATAGACATTAATAAGCAGTTTATAAATACAGCTATAAACACTTTTTTTCTTGATTTATAAGCATATCTATAATGCGTTTAATAATTGTATTTTCATACTTTGTTAATGATCAATTAATAATTTCTAAATGAAGTACAGCATTATTTACAAACCAGTTATTTAAGAGTTGTCAGTTATTCATAAGATCACTTAGAAAGTGTAAGTAAATGTAGTAAATACAGGTAGTTATAAAGCATTTAGTAGTGGTCAGTTAACTATTTTGTGAGCTAATCTAAAGTGAGGACTATTCATGCCTTGTAAAGCATTTATAAAGGAGATTTAAAGGCGCATCAATCTTCTAAACAGTAAAATGTAACAAACACAACACAGTGATACAGAACATAGAAATATTTAACAGCCTTTAAATCTCCTTTATAAATGCTTTACAAGGCATGAATAGTCCTCACTTTAGATGAGCTCACAAACATAGTTAACTGACCACTACTAAATGCTTTATAACTACCCGAATTAACCCTGAATTACAGCATAAATACATGTTAATAAAGCATTTATTAACACACTAAGTAACCATCACTATATGTCTGAATAATAAGATGTATGAATGTACATTTAAATAGTTTATTAATCATTTACTTACACGTTCTAAGTAATCTTGTGAACCACTGAAAACTCTTAAATAACTGGTTTATAAAAAATGCAATTAATCATTTAGAAATAATAAATTGATCATTAATAAAGGATGAAAATACAATTATTAAATAAATTATAGATATGCTTGTAAATCAAGAAGAAAGCATTTATAGCTGTATTTATAAACTGCTTATTAATGTCTATTAATGCTTTATGAATGATGAATTAGCTGTTTACTCATGCTTAACTAATGATTATTAGCGTGTAGTTATTATAAAGTGTTACCAAATATTCTCATAGCGCTTAAATCAAGCATTTTCAGGGAACTGGGTTACAGTCAAATAACCCGAGACGTTACCGCTGTTTGTCTGCCACCACTATGTGCCTGCAGCTACAAGTGGCGTAACTGTGACGTCTGCTCCAAAATGGTCTATAGTCTTGTTTAATACTATCAAGAAATAATTCCTGCATCTGACGTGATTCAGTGATGTGTTCACTATAGATATGTCATATTTCATTGGTAGTTTTGGAATCTGTCGACGTTGCCGAACTGCTCACACACTGTCTGGCAAAAATCACAAACTGTAATCTGATTGGCTGCTTGATACACTGCCTTTCAAAAGTTTGGGATCTGTAAGATTTTTAATTAAAAAAAAAAAATCTTACTGACCCCAAACGTTTGAACGGTAGTGTTTAATGTTACAAAAGCTTTCTGTTCCAGATAAATGCTGTTCTTTTGAACTTTCTATTTGTCAAAAAAATCCTGAAAAAATTGTACACAACTGTTTTCAATATTGATAATAATCATAAAAACACTGAAGACTGGAGTAATGATGCTGAAAATACAGCTTTGATCACAGAAATAAATTACACTTTACTATATATTCAAATTGAAAACAGTTATTTTAAAATTTCATAATATTTAACAATATTACTGTTTTTTTTTTATCAAACAAATGCAGCCTTGGAGAGCAGAAGAGACTTCTTTTAAAAATATTAAAAATCTTACCGACCCCAAACTTTTGAACGGCGGTGTAGCTTCAATAGAAACCCTTCAGGTGTTCCTGTAACCGTAAGAAACTGCAGGAAATCAGTGCTGCCGTTCACACGAGTCACATCAATCAACACATTCACATTCGAGGTTTACCCTTCATCGATTCATGCGGAATCAAACCCATGGCATTTCTAGCACACGCTCTTCTGTTCGAGCTCCAGCAATGTTATCAAGATCATCATAGTACTAGTCAATATCAGTTTCTCTTTAACATTCTGCTGTATGTTTGTTGATTGCAGATTGAGGCCGTCAGGTGTCTGGTGAACGTAACCGCAGCCAGTATTCATATGGACTATTGTGTAATCAATTTCACAACACCTGGAAAATCCTGCAGCTTCATCATGACGGATGCTTCTCACTTCACAAGCTGTTCTGAAGACGAGGAGAGACCGCACCGGTACACATGCCGGATAGTGGGTCTGATTCCCGGTGAGACCTATGTGTTTGAGATCATTTCTGAGATGGACGGCGCTCGCTTAAACATCACTGTTCAAACCGGTAAGACCCTCACATTCCTTCAGAGCTGTAGTGAATCAGAGGGTGCCTGTGAACAGAAGTGTGTGGAAGTGTCTCTTCAGGTTGTTTTCCTTGTTGACATTGATCCGCTGGAACACATTGTTCTGACAGATGTGATGAAGCTCCTGCGTTCACACAGGGTCTGTGAGCGTCTGTAGACGTGCTTTAAGCGTTTGGCACTGGCCCAGAACAGTGTGTTCTCTCTCTGCCTCCAGTTTCCTCACTCAAGGCATGTTCAGCTGCAAAGACGATAACAGAAATGAACCCTTTTCTCTCCCGTGAGTCTGTCTCTGAACAGATATTATTATGCGTAAACTTTCCCGTTAACAGTAAGAGCAGCGGTCATTAAAGTAGTGCACTTCAGAATTACAATTTATTTACAACCACGTCATCCAAGATGTTCATGTCTTTCTTTCTGCAGTGGAAAAGAAATGAAGGTTTTTGAGGAACACACTCCAGGATGTTTCTCCATATAGTGAGTTCAATGGGGTCCAACGGGTCGAAGGTCCAGATGTGAGTTTCAGTGCAGCTTCAAAGTCTCGACACGATCCAGCCGAGGAATAAGAGTCTGATCTAGACAAACCAGCGGACATTTATAACAAAATACACATTTATATACTTTTAACCACTAAAGCTGGTCTTGCACGAGCTGTGATGCGACACACATTACGCAATCCGGTTGAAAGGTCACGCCGACTCACATGTTTTCCGATTCAAAAAGGTCTCATTTTCTCCTCCAACTTCAAAATTGTCTGACATTGTTGTTTTACTTTTTATTTAATATTTTTTTGTAAATGGCTTTCGCAAACAAACAAACGTTCGCTTTGTAAACAATAGGTCTGTTCTTACGCCTACGTCCCGCTTGACCTTTCACCCTGATTACGTAATGTGTGTCGCATCACAGCGAGAGCAAGACCAGCATTAGTGGATAAAAGTATATAAATGTGTATTTTGTTATAAATGTCGGCTGGTTTGTCTAGATCAGACTCTTATTCCTCGGCTGGATCGTGTCGAGACTTTGAAGCTGCACTGAAACTCACATCTGGACCTTCGACCCGTTGGACCCCATTGAAGACACTATATGGAGAAACCCTGGAGTGTGTTCCTCAAAAACCTTCATTTCTTTTCCACTGAAGAAAGACAGACATGAACATCTTGGATGACGTGGGGGAGAGTAAATTATCAGAACATTTTTAAATTCTGAGGTAATTAAAGAAGCGTGGTGTGGGTAAAAGTTACTCAAAACGTAATCAGTTCCTAATGTTTTGAATAGTTACAATATTCCTCATGTTTTAATTCTCAATTTATAATACATATACTATAAACAAGAATAGAAATCCAATTGTCCTCATAGTATATAAATTATACTGTAGTATATTATAGTATAAGCAAAACATTAACATTTTCAGGATTTTCAACCAGAATTCCTAATGTAGGCATTTCTTATAATTGTCTGTCAGTGTCTCACATTGAGTAGAAGATTTTTTTTGTCTATTCCTCTATATATAGCCGGTTAACGGTTTTTTATTGCCTTTTTACCATTTTACATATTGTAGTAGTCATAAATTAGGTATCATTCGAAAGATTAAACTCAAAATTCATTCTGTGAAGACAGTTTTAAAATTGTAGTCTATTTTAAAACATTTTAGCAGCTTTCATCTTTATCTATACGACTTTGATTTTCTAGCAATTGTAGTTCAAATCATTTTGTAAAATATATATCTAGTATAAAATCAAAAGTTCAGTACATTTGCTTGACAGTGAACCTAGACGTCTATAAGCCTTCATGAAGCGTGTCACACAGATCTCAGAAGGGCTGGGCACAGTGAACAGGGGAACTGTGTTTACTGGAGGGTTTCTTCTTCTTCTAGATCTGGGCCCGTATTTATCAAGCCTCTGAGAATTACCCACAAGAACACTGCTAGGAATTGACTTAAGAGTAAAACAATTCTTGACTCAAAGCTGCGCTTTGAAAGTAAGTTATCAAGCATCTCAGTTGTAATGTGAGTGAAGAGTAGGACTAAATCTTAAGTGTCAGTCTTAGAGATGTGTCAGTCTTGCTGTGCCACAACGGGATTTTAGATGACGACATTGGCATGGACCAATCACTGAATAGATTTCCTTATTTAAGAATATTCTCAGGTAAATTCACATTGAATGGTGAAATTCCTAAGAGGATAAATCATTTTCAAGAGAATACATTATGATATACCAACCCATCATGAAATGCATCTCTATAGTGTGCACATTTATTTTGAAATAGCGATGAACATGAAAAATCATGAAAGAATGGTAGTAAACTCAGTTTCTTTTCATGCCAAGAGTTCAAAAGATAACATCCATTACATTTTTTCTTTAGCAAAAAATGTCTGTTCTTTTTATGTGTTTATTAGTGGTTGAATTCATATCAAAATCTGCCAAACTACTACTTCTGAATAGGATGTCTACTTCATAATTTGTATGAAAATTGTGGAAATAATGGTTCAGATCACTCAAAACACATCTGGAAATGGAGGCGCCCTCATATGGGCAGTAATGGAGGCTGGTCCTCTAGTGGAGGCGTTCAGTACTGCAGACAAACACTCTCACTGAAAGCTCATTTTTTGAGATATCAACCTAAAATTTGAAACACAACTTGTTCAGATTTTTGGCTTTCATTTTCTTGTAGTTTTAGAGTCCAACATGTTTTGAAAATATATATTTGATATAAAATATGAATAATTCGATTTTTACATAAACTCATAAACTCAAACTTCACTTTCACTTTCAACTTCAGTTTCACTTTAAAAAAAAAAAAATCTGCCAAATGTCTTCTTTAAAACAAGTCTATATTCCGTCTATATTACAAATCATTCTTGAAGTACAACCATTTAAGTTCGGATCATGTCTATTAAAAAAAAAAAACGGCCCCTGGACTTTGACTTGGCCAATCAGGACCCTTCATTTCCTTCCTTTCGTCTGATTCCTCTCTGGATCTGCTTGACGTTTGGACGTCGGAAGTGAGGCTGAACAACTCGACCTTTGACCCGATCTGTCCAGGACACATTGTTCCAGAAGTCCTGCCTCCTCCTCCTGTCCTCCTGTGTATCGGGATGCGTTTGCTTCTGCTGGCGGACACAGCTCGGGCTTCTGGAGGCCCCTGCAGGCTCCTGGACTTCGGGAGGAGCTCCCTCAACAGTCACAGTTAAAAAACATCGAAGCTTAGTGCTTCCTTCTGAGACGTTCCTTGACATGATCTTGGCATGATGGATGAACTTCTTTGCTTACGAACTAGACTGATTTATTGAGGTTTATATAATATGTGGCACTTCTCTTTAAGAATGTCATAATTGCACTTGATTCTACTAATTTGTGCACCTGATTTTAATTCTATATAGGGGTGTACAATTTTTTTTGGTTACACTTTAGACATTCTACTAACTACAAGTAACTTTGCAACTCCATGTCAAGTAACTCTCGTTAGAGTATTATTAGACTGTTAGGGTTAGGTTAGTATAATACGTTGACATGTAGTTGCAAAGTTACTTATAGTCAGTAGGATCTCTAAAGTGAACTATCAAAATAAAGTGTTACCCTTTTTTTAACCTGGTCTCACTTCAAACTTGTAATAATTTGTCAGTTGGAAAAATAAGACGTGAGTTTGTGCGAAATGTAGCTTTACTCCTATTACACTCAGATGAATCCATTCATCAGTCCACCAACATGCTTTCAAAACTAACTAACACCTGATCGCGTTCCAGTCAAGCCTGACACCTGACCTCTGACCCCTGACCTCTGACTCTATGTCTGATGACTGTAATCTGAGCAAACTCGTGTTTAGAGTGGATGTCAAACCAATAGGAACTGAGACTGTCTTTCAGATATTCTTAGTATCTTATTCTTAGCCACTCAACAACTTCCACGTGTGTGTTGCACTAGTCCTCCGTGAGGTTGGTGTGTGTAGGTTGTGCAGTGTTACTGCTCTATGAAATATGAGTCACATTTGACTACAAATGAGCTTAACTTTTTAAAATCTGTTACTGTACTGTATATTTGTACACATGCTGAGTTACTGTAGCTTTTTCAGACAGAGGCAAAGGCTTCTAGAGCTGTGTGTCCTTGTCCTTGAAGAGACAGCGTTCCTGATGGTCAAAATGGTAGTAAACAACTCAGATTCTAAACAACTCACCTTTTAAATGTTTTTACACCGAACAGTTATATAATTCCTGCTGTGATTTATGTGCTCTCCATTTACACCGGTACAGTCGCCATGTTCCACAGGACGCAGAAACACACTTTTACTCCTAAAGGCCATCAGCTCTTTTATCGCTTTTTCCAGGATATTTTCAGCTCGCCTCCTCCCTTCCTGCTTTACCAGACGACCCGCCTACACATCCTGCTGTTTACTGCCCATTATTACCCATGATGCACACACACACACACACACACACACACACACACACACACACACACTCACACTCACTCACTCTCCCTCTCTCTCTCTCTCTCTCTCTCTCTCTCTCACACACACACACTCACACACACACACTCACACACACACTCTCTCTCTCTCTCTCTCTCTCTCTCTCTCTCTCTCTCTCTCTCTCTCTCTCTCTCTCTCTCACACACACACAATACAATACAATACAACACAAATAATACAAGTGTGACTATTTTTTTTCAGTACCATTTAACCTTTTCGAATCATGTCTGTGATGTGTGTGTGTGTGTATGTGCCAAAACCTTTACGTTTCGTACCATTCCGAAGGAGTAAAAAATTTATTAAAAAAGGTCAACTTTTTTCGGTATAAAATATGTAAAATCAACATCACTTCTATCTGAAACCGCTTGCTAAATATGGAAGCTTGAGTATCAAACCTTTCCGGCGATATGGTTCGTCAAGATTAGACAAATATTTGATTATAAAATAGTGCAGTAAAATTAGCAACATTTGAAACATGACTCCGCCCACTAGAAGGAGGGGCCTGCTAAAAGTACCTTTT